GCAGTAGCTTATTAGCATATTTTTTTTTTATATTATTTTTTTTTTTTCACTTTGTCTTTCTTATCCCTTTTTTCGGATAATATAATATTTATATATTTATATTCATAAATTTATATGCATCTTTTATTCAGAAGAATCATCGATTCGTAAAGAATCTTCACATCAGCCATAAAATTCGCAGTGCATAATGTTAATGTCAGCCAAATATTGTTCAATTGTATTTTCTATTCGTTAATGCAGTTGTGTATATTTGTGGCTAGAATCAAAAGAAGTATCGTTTTATTTATTTTCTATGCTATGTTTTTGCAAATTCAATGGCTGATACAAAGACTTTACAACACTTTTCTCATCGCGCTGATGATGCAAAGTATAAATTCGTCGTGGAACGATACACAAGAACACAACTTTTTTTTTTCACGTTGGCAAGGAAAAACCGGAAAAAGAAAGAACTGACAACTTTTCTTTTTCGAAATAACAACAAAAGATTACTAGTTATTTTTATTTTTCATTCTTGCAAGTTTTAACTATCCGGGGGGAGGTGTGATAGTAACATATTAACAAGGGACATCAGGAAGAGAGAGATTCTATGTTGACTGACAGAGAACACATTATAGGTCTGTTCAGTCTGTTCACTCACTTTGAGTTTAGCGGAACAGTGGAACCCCCTTTTCAATATGAACGTTCACAATGAAATAAGCAAAAAATGTCTACGTGAATAGCTCCTTTGGTCCATAATCGCAGCCTAACGGCACATGTTGCGTACAAATATTATGACTTCTCCTCCTCTCCTTTTTCCATACAAGGTGAATATTTTACCTTATCAGTTACGTATAAATATGCGTTAATTGATCGACTTCGAGTACTTACTTATGCTTCCTTCTACCGTTTCTGATTTTTCTTTCTATTCCAAAATAAGGTTATAAGTTGTCGGCGTGAATGATATTCTATTAAAAAAAAAAAAAAAAATTTGTATAAAGCGTTGTGAATATATCGAATTCTCGAGTTGTAAAAAAGCTAGAAAAAAATGTACACTCGTGTTTCGACTTTGTATAAATATGATCATGTATGTATATTTTTAAAGGAAAAACAAAAATAATACACAGAATCATTTTCGAAAGATCTCTCATCTGTAAGTTTTATTTTAATTCCACAGGTTGTTTGGATTATTTTGTAATGTTATGTTAGAAAATATTGTAAATAATGTAGTTTTAATCATTATCGATATCGCTTTGAGTTATAATGCAACTTTTTTAAAATCATATCGCTGTTGTCGACGGACAAGGATCATCGCCTTTTCTTACCATCATTAANATATTTTATATATATATATTCTTTATTTATTTTGTAAACATCATCACCCTATATTTTCATCATCATTACCACCATCAGCATTATTTTGCAATCATTTTGACAATGTTAACTTCAAGCTTTTTTTTAAGAATACAAATATCAGATAATGGATTGAATAAAACTCCCGGCGTATCGACCATGCAAGAAAAATGTATGTCTTAGAAATACAAGAAATTGAAATGCAAATGAAGTAAACGAATAAATTATATTTCGACTCTGTGACCTCGACTATCAGTTACTTATCTTGCTATTTTCTCGACAGATGTAGACATAGCTTATAATCGGGCGATCGATACGCTGCGAATTTTCGATTACACAGGGACCAAAATGATCCATTCATTAGTAGTTTAAATACGCACGTTAATCTATATACTTTTGTTCTCCGTTTTCTCGCTTTTATCTTTTGTTTACTCAACTTTTTTTTTCTTATTTCTTTTTATGAATTCATGTCGCATTTTCAGTTTTACAAATCATTCATTTGTATTTTTTTTTTTTCTTCAACTTTGGGTAATGCGATCGCGGATATTTTTACAATTTTGTATTACGTGTAAACTCGTATATAATTTTCTTTGTCTACTTAAAGTATCCTCAAGGATTACTTAGAAAAAACTTTTTTTTTCTCGTTTTACCGTCCTTCACTTTAATATTTCATTCATTTTACCTCGACAGATTCAATTTCTTTTCAAGTGATGATTCACCGCAACTCGAAGCAACTCATATGTTGTAAGTCTTTTTTCTTAAATTTTTTTCTTACTTTCTCGAAGACAAAAAATCAATGACACATAAAATTTTGCTTAAACTCTATAATTATTATTATTATTTTTTTTTGTCCATGCACCCTCACCGAGACTTAATTATCTTTTATTCAATTTTATTATGCGTCAACTCTCGAGAAAGAATTTTCAAACATTCAATTATTACTATATTATTACTTTTTTACTTCAACAATGAGATAATAAATTGCCATTTGTGAAAGCCATGGTTCCTCGAGACCGAGTGGCTCAAATCGAAAATATGCAGATTGCGAGTCTCGTTACGCGTGTATGATTGCTCGTGTGTGTGTATAAGTATTAAATGAGTATATATATATATATATATATATATATATATATACGTTGAATTTCTATCATTTGCTTAGAAACACATCCTCTCGATAACGACGTCGTCACGATGTACACAAACCGGGTTGTGTCGCGTTGGCACCCCTAGGCAAGTTTACGTACGTACATAACATACACTCGTTTACCTCTAAAAAGGTCGAGTTTCATAAAGCTGTGTAGCGATTACTCCTGTTATCCGACGAAAACTATCGTACCAGTTTTCCATGGACGCGTGCGCGTTTTTTTTTGTTTTATATTTTTTGTTATCCCTTTTATTTTTTTTTAATCATCGTTTTTAGTATTCTTTCGTCTCAGTTTCGTCAAGGATATATAAAGCCAAGAAATCGTCCTTTATTATTCTTATGTTTTTTTTGGATCGACGAGGCAGAATCAGTCTTGCTCTAAATATCTGTAGCACTTGTAAGTGTTACACGATGATTTGAATGTTTAATGAAATAAAGTTGTTTTAATGGAATTTGTTATGATAACGTTGAAACAAACAAACTAACTCATCATGGCAGAATTTATTGATTTCGAAGCATTAATCGTCACTGAGTTGAAATTGTTATTTTCTACAATGTGTTGCTTATCCAACGAGATAAATAGACAGTTTAATGTTTACATCGGATTGCTTAGTGTCATAGGCATTGAATCACTAAATTTTGCAATTGGACTCTTGTCTATTTGCTTCGTCCGATAATTTCAATGATATCGTATCATCCAGACGAATAATGATATAATTCAGATTAGTTTATTCCATGTGGATCAGTATTATGTTTTGTTTATCTATTAACTTAATTAAAAGCTTTGTCCTTTGGTTCAGTTACGTTACTATGTAACATATTTACTTACGGGGCCACATTTCAATTATTCGATTTTTTTCCCCATTTTTTACGAAGCCGCCAAAATGCATGAACAAGTTATTGATTTTATTACGATATTACTCTTTTTAGTGATTTCGTTTTTATAACAATGATTATACGCGTGCTTAGTCTATTTTCGTGATAGAAATGAACAAGATACTTTAAGAAAAAAAAAAAAAAAAAAAAAAAATGGTAGTAACAAGTTTGAATTTTTTATTCAAGTTTTTGTATTTGAAAAAATAACAGTAACAAAATGGTACACATTGTTTACAATTTATTTCAGTCCTTGTGTACGTATGTGGTATAATATGTAAGCATAGCTTTCGGTAAGCTTACAAAAAAATATCATGTTTTGTTGAAACTAAAAATCATAATTGTAAGTAAAACTGCGGTAAAAAAAAAAAACCAAGTGAAAATTTCATAACAAAAAAAAAAAAAAACACGATTTCTAAGAGAAAAAAAATTATACATACAATTACCCCAATGATTGTATTGTGATGTATTGCAGTAAGCAAAGCACAGTGTTTTTTGTTGAGCCATGGCTACCGACCTTTATGAATAATTATGCATACTTAATTTTTATATCTTGCTTTTCTTACTGTGAATAGCTACAAGAGGCCAAAATTAGTTTTTTTATAATGTTATTACGGTTGATGTTCAATAATAGCTCAAACCGCATTTTTTTTCATTTTTTTTTTTTGTATTAATTTTTCATTTTTTCGGACTACCGATCTAAATATTGCACTTTATGTTTTTCGGTCACAAAGTTTTGTATCTCAGAATTCTGATAAGAAAGCTTTAAAGCTTGGACTTCTATGTTTAAACTTGATTTTACTATACATTACTCGATATGCTTACTTACGTTTTTCAATGCAGATTTTTTCAAGAAAAACCATATAAAAAGATTTAAAAACACATCAAGACGATTGCTTTACAAGACACCAAGATTAACAAAACTTCAAGTCCGCACATAAGGGCAGTTCTAACTTTTAAGTACCTACGAAAATATAGAAAAATCAAGGCAAGTTTCTATGGTCTATTGAAATGAAAACGCACTATATTAATCTAACCAGCCATCTTCAAAAATAAATTTACAAGAACTATGCCAAATTAAAAAACAGGCTTAGTTTTAAACAAGTGTCCACAAGGTTTAAAGCCAAAATGTACAATTGAACTACAGGAATTTTAATAAAAATTTGCGTGAAAGTAATTGTCTCTGTACCCCAGTCAACTTGAATATTTTTCAAGCAGTGCAATCTATAATTTAGCGCCAAAAGAAACGTTCAATAGCAGAGACGCTCGTGTTTTACAAGTCTACGATTTATGTTTTGTTTTCTATTTCTTCCAAGGAAAAAGGAAGCAAGACGTGCTTCATCAACATCAAGCATTTTTCGAGTGTACCATCAACTTTTCGCACGCATAAATATATACGTCCCGCGACTCGCAAATAACCATATTCTCCCGAGCGCGCTGCAGCAACCGAGACATGACGCGCTAAGAGTTGCAGTAACTTACAACCACAGATAGAAAGAAAATGATAGAGACAGAGAGGCCTCTCCTCGCACTATTAATTTGCCACAGCAACAGCAACCAGCGGCAGCAGTAGTCTGCCATCGGAAAACAACATCAGAACCTCCGATAGGAAGTAAAGCTGAGGAAAGGGAAGGGGAACCTGGAGGCAGCAGCTGCCTGGGCCTGAGAGGCGGCCGCGACTGTTTGTTGGGCGCTGTGTAGGCCAGCGGCTGAATAAGCTGCGGCCGGGCGCTGTAGTAGTGGAGAGCTGGGCTGCTGGCTCGGCTGGGGCGGCTGAAGCGGCGAGAGCGACGGAGCCGCGCGCGCCTGGTGATGGTGGGCCGCGGCCGCAGCTGCAGCTGCAAGATTGTGGAGCAGCTGCGGCGGTGGCTGTTGCTGGTGATGGGGGTGGTGATGGGGCGGAGGGGGTGGGGCCGGTCCGAACGACAGGGGTGAGCGGTGGTGGCAAGGCGAGGATTGCGAGCTCGCCAAACTGGAGCGAGTCGGCAAGGTCAGACTGTTGCTGCCAAGACTCGAGGCTGCTGCTGCTGGGGAAGGCTGCGGGGGCTGTGGTGGGGGCAGGTTCAGGCTCGTCTGGAGGCTGGATGCGAGGGGAAGATGGCTGCCGGGCGCGAGGTAGTGCAAGTTGAAGGACGGTCGCGGGGGCTAGTAAAGCCTCATACCTTCTTCGAAGTTGACGATGAGAGGGTCAACGACCGCGGGGCTGCCGATGAAGCTGCCGGCCTCGCTGCTGTTCCGGTTTTGCTCCGACTCGGTACTGTTACCGTCGAATTTTGCATCTTAGTAAATTGGGAAAGAAAAAAATAAACGTTACATTAATTGAAGTTTTGCCAACTGAATCGTTATTATTTGATCGAAAGCAGACAGAGACATTCTTTTTTTCGTTGTTGATAAGATCTCAAGAAAATACGGAATATTATTTGCAACAAGCCGTATATGCACTTATAATTTTAAGAACAGCTTTCTTTGTGAAATTCAATATACAAGAAAGATTCAGTAATTAAAACTCCTCCTCTACATAACATAACGAAAAAAACTCAACATAAAGCTTTCACAAACTGAAACAGAACATAAAACTTTCAGAAACAAATAATCCTCAATCAAACAAGGAAATACAATCATTACTGTGAAAATAAAAATCTATGACACAAACATCACATGAGAAAGTTAATGTAATCTTTACCTGGGCGATTGGACCATTCTTGATTAGCGGGCTTAGCCGGTGATGGGCCTGTTGTTTTTACTGGCTCAATGGGATTAGCTATGTTTCTACTCTGTCTATGTAAAAACGGACAGTGCGGCTTCTTGCAACCACCGGGAAATTTCTCCCAGTAACAAGGAATAACTTTACGGTTTTTCTAAAACAGACAGCAAAGCAAAGGACACGAGCTATAGATGAGTAAGAGTAAAGAATACACTTGTATGTTAACGTTTGATTATTTTTTTCTTTCTCTCAATTAAATGTATGTAAACTACATACCTTAATCTCCATGTGTCTGAAGTTGCAGTGTTGATTGAGGCAACTTCCCTGCTGCCAGTACGAGCAGACAGTCTCGCAGCCCAGCGCTGACGCTTCATGGCGGTAGGCACAGCTATCACCCTGTGAAACAACCAAAAATATCAATGAACCGTTAAACTTTAACTCAATTTACCCTGCATTATGACCGTTGTGACGTAAAATAAACTTTTAATATAACTGCAGTACCTTGTATACAAAAGTAATTACTGCATCGAATCTTCTAATATAAAGTTACAAACAACCATGACAAAAAACTTTACATGAGCATTATATACAGAGTGGAGCTGATGATCAATTAGCAGCAAGAGAGAGAAATACTATAAATATTTACACAATATGGCCGTCCTAACCTTACTAATCTACCCCCCAAGAAATGAGTATCCCATGCTCCATAGCTGCTACTGCTCAGCAGCCCCTCTCTCACTCTCTTCAGCCCGAGGTTCCGATAAAATACCAAACTTTACGCAACAACTTTACTTCAATTACATATTGAAACAGCATCGCGGCAATGGTTAATGCACTCATGCTTGCTACAAAATGCCAAATCTCACGAAAAAAGCAACCGGGAAAAATATAAAATAATAGAGATTGATATCTTACCCTAGTGCACGTGGAGTAGTAGAAAAAGTAGCAGTCGGTGTTTTTGTGATTTTTCTCCATTTGTAGGAGCTTGATGAACGACGAGTGGTCGTGCTCGGAGCTGCAATTGAAAATATAATTAGATATGATGTGTATAAGTATTATATGGGCGATGGACGAGACACGAAATAAAAGTTATGTGTGTTACATGCGCGGTTATTGAGTATATGTAGGATGCATATACAATCCTCCCGATCAGGAAAAAGCTCAGGAATTGTTATTCTAAAAAAGTAGAAAAGTAGAGAACCGATAAGAGATTGTTACAAATACGAGCCTGGCTTTCTGGATCGAGTGATGAAAACTATGAGAAGGGATTGATTGGAGAAAAAGAGAGTAAGTATGTATACATGTACGAGCGGGACAGATATGTGTACTGAGAGCTGAGAGGCGTGTGTAGTGTGTGTATTGTAGGTATATGATGTAGGCGACATGCGTAGGTATACTACAACATGGAATTTAGAAGTACATCTTATGTACATAAATCGCAATGGGTCTGATTTAGACTTGAAATTGTCTGGAAAGGGCCACGCGTTTTGCGCTAAAATTTATACTTCAAAAGTATTTTACCATCTCATGTACCGGAACATGATGGTAAGCAAATACTTTAGCACCTACTCACTACTCCTTGACGAAGGGTTCGTTCAAACTCACTAGACGATCTTTACAAGAACGAAGTTAGACTAGACTGTCATAAGATAGTATTGTTATTAGAACATAAGTTTATCAGAAGCTAGTCCAAAGGTGCTCATTTAGTTATTTGTTTACATTGTATACTATAAAACACACTACACATACTAGTATCTTTATAATCAAAGAACACACGGCTCAGTTCAGTTATATCGTCATACATTGTGTTTACGTGCAAGTGTGATTTAAATATTTGTTGTCAATTAAGTAATAGGTAGGTATGTCCATCGGTTTACCTTATATACCTATAGGTCAGAACAACAACACCACGCTTGCTCGCCGAAAAGGATTATTCCTGTCGTCCGGCCCCCGTGCGTGCGCTCAGCGAGAACAGTTTATCCTCAAATAGCAGCTAGTAGGAGGTAATAACCTGCTACACGGATGACGACGTGGACGAGACTGATAATCGTGACACACCTGCACCCTCACGCACAAAATATAATCACTAAAGCCGCTGCTGCAGAGGGATTGCACGAAACGAGACCACGAAGACGACGACGACGAGGAAGCCTTTTTGCTGCAGCTTGCTGGTTCTTCCCCGAGCAACGACGACCCAAAACCGGAGCTGATTTTCAGGTTGCTGCTGCTGCAAATGCCTTGATTTTCGTTTTTCGGAGTCGGCGCATGAGCAACATGCTAATGCTAAATGCTATACGAGTATTTTATATATATATACATATATATAGGCAAATGGCATTTCTTTACAGGTATCAACGAACATCGTGATACCCTGTTTAGGTATAGCAGGTTTCTACTTTTTTTTTAAGAATTTTTTTTTTGCACATATTGTGTTATTACCTAATATCTAAAGAAAAATAAGCAAAGATGACAAATTTTTTTGATACTTGTTCAACCAATGTAATGAAATTTTTGCAATTCGATTCAACATTCGAGATTTTTTTTCAATATTCTCATATAGTATAAAATGTGTGTACACATAATTACGGGAGCACAATCATGAAATCTGCATAAAAACGCATAAAGGGCGCACAAAAACACGTACGAGTGCACGAAAGCGCGCACACAACAAGTTGCAAAGCAGACAATTTTTATTTCATTTACTTAAGTACAGCTTATAATTGTTACATCGTTACGTGGGAAAGAGATTTGTTCAAGAGACTTTATACATATATATCTACTTTGGATTTTATCATTTTGTAGTAATCATAAGTTTTTATCATAAGTAGTGCCGTATGGTCGATTTTATAAGCCATATAAGACGAGTATAATATTTATACTTTGAGAGGTAGATTTTCAGATAAAAGATAAATTATAGACTTGCCGCAAACAGCATTAACAACGTCAACTTTTTATTTTGTATTTATAAAATAAGTTGCGGCTGGTTTATGTTTAATTACATGGCTCTACTGTAAGTAGTAGTGATTATTTGGATCAGCGCCATCTAGCGATGCGGATTTCTGAACTAAAAAGTGGCCCTAAACTTTTGAACCGGAGCTTTAGCGCTTAGAGCCATTTAATCAAGTATAAACCAGCCGCAACTCATTTGATAGCTAAAAAATGGAAAAATAACGATACGTGTGTTTTTGACGGCAAGTTAACAATCTATCTTTTGCTCGAAAATTTATCTTCAAAAGTATAAATACGTAAGAGGTCGATTTTTTGTAAAAAATAAATTGTTAACTTGCCGCCAAAAACACATGTATCGTTATTTTTTCATTTTATAGCTACAAAATGAGTTGCGGCTGGTTTATACTTGGTTAAATGGCTCTAATCCTGATTGCTCTGATTCAGAATTTTAGGAGCCACTTTTGGCCAAAACATAAACACCGCTAGATGGCGCTGATCCAAATAGTTACTACTATACTTACAGTAGAGCCATGTAATCGATTATAAACCAGCCGCAACTGAACATGAAAATATAAAATAAAAAGTTGACGTTGTTTGTGCTGTTTGCGGCAAATATACAATTTATCTTTAACCCGGAAATCCACCTCAAGTATAAATATTTTACTTATCTTATATGGCTTACAAAATCGACCATATTTACAAAATTACAATACTTTAGACCTTTTACTATTAACTCATGGAAGCACAAATTAATCAGTCTAAAAGAGACAACTGAAGAAAAAAGGACTGAAAAAGAAGCACAGTCACACGAAGAGTCTCCTAAAAATGGAGCATTGGATCTCACTAAATAAAAAATACATTTATTACAGAGAAGTAAATTTTAAGTATTATAAATAAACAAAGAACCCAACCTTCTCTGATTCAGTGAGATCCAATGCTCCATTTTTAGGAGACTCTTCCTTTGTGACTGAACTTCTTTTTTAAGCCTTTTTTCTTCAGTTGTCTCTTTTAGACTGATTAATTTAAGTATATAATATATGATCGTTATTCAAGATTTCTGCAACACAAATTTTGCTGTGTACATATTACATAAGTTAACTGTTTATTGGAACTATAAAGTTAAAGGGCTGTGCTTCTATGAGTTNATCTGCTTCTGCAGACTTACAATAAGATTTAAGAGCTGCTTGTATAATCATCATCAATTATTTGTTAAATGTAAAACAAATAAAGCTCTATGTTTGATTAGCAAATTTTCTTTATTATCCAAATAAACACAAATTCTTAGCATAAAATTATGAATTTTCACATTCTTTACATCTGAAACAACTTTCATTAAGTGAGATCCAATGCTCCATTTTTAGGAGACTCTTCCTGTGTGACTGAACTTCTTTTTTAAGCTTTTTTTCTTCAGTTGTCTCTTTTGGACTTATTACTCTACGTATCTATTTAAACGTTGTTCAAGATTTTTGTAACACAAATCTTGGTATTTACATATTATATAAGTTAACTGTTTATTTAAACTATAAAGTTAAAGGGCTGTGCTTCCGTGAGTTAATGGTAAAAGGTCTAAAGTATTGTAATTTTGTAAATATGGTAGATTTTATAAGCCGTATAAGATAAGTGGAATATTTATACTTTTCAAGGTTTCTCGCCATGGCATGAAAAAAGGGGCCCAAACTCCAACATAAGTAATATATTACACTTGTAATGTTCACGTGGAAGGAAAAAATATACAAAACCAGCTTACCCTCGAAATCACCGGTATCGGCGACTACGGTAGTCATTGACTTGAGCTGGTCCAACGNGCTCCTAAAATTCTGAATCAGAGCAATCAGGATTAGAGCCATTTAACCAAGTATAAACCAGCCGCAACTCATTTTGTAGCTATAAAATGAAAAAATAACGATACATGTGTTTTTGGCGGCAAGTTAACAATTTATTTTTTACAAAAAATCGACCTCTTACGTATTTATACTTTTGAAGATAAATTTTCGAGCAAAAGATAGATTGTTAACTTGCCGTCAAAAACACACGTATCGTTATTTTTCCATTTTTTAGCTATCAAATGAGTTGCGGCTGGTTTATACTTGATTAAATGGCTCTAAGCGCTAAAGCTCCGGTTCAAAAGTTTAGGGCCACTTTTTAGTTCAGAAATCCGCATCGCTAGATGGCGCTGATCCAAATAATCACTACTACTTACAGTAGAGCCATGTAATTAAACATAAACCAGCCGCAACTTATTTTATAAATACAAAATAAAAAGTTGACGTTGTTAATGCTGTTTGCGGCAAGTCTATAATTTATCTTTTATCTGAAAATCTACCTCTCAAAGTATAAATATTATACTCGTCTTATATGGCTTATAAAATCGACCATACGGCACTACTTATGATAAAAACTTATGATTACTACAAAATGATAAAATCCAAAGTAGATATATATGTATAAAGTCTCTTGAACAAATCTCTTTCCCACGTAACGATGTAACAATTATAAGCTGTACTTAAGTAAATGAAATAAAAATTGTCTGCTTTGCAACTTGTTGTGTGCGCGCTTTCGTGCACTCGTACGTGTTTTTGTGCGCGCTTATGCGTTTTTATTTAGATATCGCGACCGGGCTACCTACATACCTAATATACACAAATTTGGCCAAAGCAAGAAAAAATAAAAAAATAATAAAAAACAAACGAGTGTACGTGAAACCTCCTAGAGATTTGCTGTGACGTTTTTGTCCACAATTGCAAATGATCGTTTCTTATAGACGTATGTGTGTCTCTACTCGACACAAGCAATGTAACATACAATTATATCTCTTCTGCTGTAATATACACAAAATAAATGCATGACAAGTAATATTTCATTCAAGCCTGTGCGATCTTTTCCCGCAAGAGATTCTCAAGCTTGCGCATGTCGACGGCGAACTTGCGGATACCGTCGCTGAGCTTGTCCGTGGCCATCTGGTCTTCGTTGAGGTGCCACCTAAATGCAGCCTCGTCCAGCTTGATCTTCTGCAACTCCGTATTTTGGGAGGACTCTGCACTGAGGGCCTTGTCGAGGGGCTCCGTACTCTTGCCCAGTTCTTCCAGGAGCTTGGGACTAATGGTCAAGAAGTCGCAGCCAGCCAGGGCCTTGATTTCCTCTGAAAGTTTTGAAAATGAATCAACCTTGCATAGTTTAATGATACAATTTGAGGTTTTGCACACGTACCGACGTTTCTAAACGAGGCGCCCATCACGACCGTTTTGTAACCGAACTTTTTGTAGTAGTTGTAGATCTTCGTGACAGACTTGACGCCCGGGTCCTCTGGGCCTGTGAACGTTTTCTGTTCCGTATTGGCGACGTACCTGCAAATTCACAACCATTTTCCAGGTGAAATTCTGAATTCGATTACTAAGAGGACAAAGCCGTATGCAGTATACTTACCAGTCGAGAATCCTGCCAACGAAGGGAGAAATGAGAGTGACTCCAGCCTCGGCGCAAGCAACGGCTTGGGCGAACGAGAACAACAGCGTCAGGTTGCAGTGGATCCCGTACTTTTCCTCGAGTTCCCTGGGTCAGAAGAACATCATTGCCGAACGAAGGAGAACTCGAACGAGCGAGAAAAAAAAACAAACCACCCTCGACTCACTTGGCTGCCTGGATGCCCTCCCAGGTGGAGGCGAGCTTGATGAGCACGCGCTCCTTGCCGATGCCGAACTCCTTGTACAGGGCAATGAGCTTGCAGGCCTTTTTCACGCTCGCCACTCTGTCGAACGACAAACGAGCATCGACTTCCGTCGAGACGCGGCCTGGAATGATATTCAGGATCTCCAGGCCAAACAGCACACAGGTGTAGTCCAGGGCAGCCTCGATCTGTTCCTGCAACGTTCTACAATATCGCATGGGGGGTAAGACGTGTACGAATGGATAATGAAGAGATTCGAGGGAACAACTTATGACCTGGATTTCTGGGCCAAGTGTACCGCCTTGTCGATGAGGTGGGCGTACTTCTTTTGGCTCGCCGCTGCCAGGATGAGCGATGGATTCGTCGTCGCGTCTGTTGGCTTGAACTGTTGCATAGCTGAGGTTCAAAGTTGACATTAAAATATCATTCAACCGTAACAGTAGGTAACTTTGAAAATTTTTTTTATTTTTTTTTTTTATTTTTTTCACTTCAAAGCACACACGTGTCAGATAAAAGTTACGCATGTTTGCCATCGCAAATGTAACTCTTGTGTCACGTTGCAGTGTGCAGCGTTGAAAAAGTGTGATAACGATTTTTTAAAATTAATTTACATTTTAGTGGGATATAACGGCAGTAAAGTTACTATTTTTGATTTATTTATTAATTTTTATTATACATAACAATCATCAGTGGACGACAGTTACAGATTGTAATGTTGAAGAAAAATGATATCGATTTTTCCACGCAAGTGCGTGCGTGAGAGCGTGTTGTGCAGCTTGTGTACAAGGAAATGATGTACATATTATTATTACCTATCTAGCGAACGCCGGGAGCATCGCGTGTTTGATGTACTTAACAAGCAACTAAAATTAAACGATTGATATTCCATCGAGTTCGTTATCAACGGAGCGCTTGATTGAGATTCTATACAAAAAGGCTATCTTGGTTGTAAATTACTTTGCTACATAATTGTTTGTGTCACGAACAAAAGCATTAAAAAAAACAGCTATCGCATTCAAACAAAATTGTCTCGCACATCATACGATGTATCAAACCGAAATTGGAAGCGGCAATGAATTATTCTAAACGTTAAATTTCCAAGAGTTATAAAGTTAGTCAAATACGAGTGTACACAGCTGTAGCGATTATAATATAGGTACAGTTCGAACAACCGATCGAGGAGGGAACGAAACTTACGTAATCGAAATGATAAATTTTCCATTACACTAGTTCGTGGTACATAGAGTTAAGCACCATCATTTTATTTACTAATGACAAACATATTATATCCACACCTATCCAAAAGGATGCGGTGTATGTATGCAACGTGATAAAGACGCGTTTATATCGTTAACAGAAAGAGCATTTATTTAGTGTTGTTTCATCGCCGCGAACCGTCGAGGCCATGTAGAGATCGGTTAGAAAATTTTTCCCTAGTCATTTTCCAACGAGCTCACGGATAGTGTCTATAAGACGTGAGCAACTCGCGCATTTAAAAGTTAAATTCTCCCGTTTGCGCGGCTCTGTGTGTGCTCGTTGTCGGAACATAAAATTAAATCGTTAACGATAGGTGGTTTTTGATAATCGGCCGGCGAGAAGTTTAACTTGCTCCTTCTTGAACATGTTTGCCATTGCAAGTTGCGCAGTGAGGGGACGGTGAAGTGAAAAAAAAAAAAAAAAAAATAGAATAGCATTTCCCCCTCCATGTTAATTACGACTCATAGTCCACGTGACCCGTTTTTTCTCGCCATGGCATGAAAAAAGGGGCCCAAACTCCAACATAAGTAATATATTACACTTGTAATGTTCACGTGGAAGGAAAAAATATACAAAACCAGCTTACCCTCGAAATCACCGGTATCGGCGACTACGGTAGTCATTGACTTGAGCTGGTCCAACGTGGAGTTCGAGGTCATCCTGGTTTTTTTGCACTGTGGCTCGCTCATATTCGATTATTTTACAAAATCTGGATATCTTCGGGATACAGTACTGTACACTTGGGCTTTTCTTTTTTGAAATCGGGATTTTTGCTCCGTAGGTGTGCAAGTAATGCCGATATCAGGACAACGAGAGTTTGATATCGCGAGTATATCCGTTGGAGCTAGTGCAGCACTGACGCGCGTCGCGCGATACTCGTGTATTTGAGCAGAAAGAATCGTTTCTATATAGTGTATGCGTGTATATAAAACAAGGAATGTAATGTGGAGAGATTGTGGAGTCGCCTAATTCGTAGATGATTTTTCATCTTTTACAAGCGTACCAATAGATATATTGGGCGAGCGGAGTTCAATTATTACCATCATTTTGTATGATTTTTTGTAAATTCAAGTTCAGAGAAACCTTTTCATGGCAATGGTTATCACGGAAACCGATAGTTTATTATTTGATTCGCTCATGATGAGTGTAACTAAATAAGTAAATTTTTTTAGATAAATTTATTTATTAAATCATACAAATATTTACCTTAAGTACAACATGCTTAAAACAATCATACAACAGACTCCCTACGCATGCTCTTTATATACAATTCCTTATCTTAAGTGTACAAAAATAGTTTTATACATAATCAAATTGCAAACGTCCCTTTTATAGTTAGATTGTCATTAATATCGATTCCTATCGACTTTTCCCTTCCAACTTTTAAAAAATTAGATTTTAAAATTTTTTATATTAAACAAACAATGTAAACGCTAATAAGAAAATTATTAGTATCTAGATATATTGAGTTTTATGTCAACAGTTAAATAAATCAAAATTTTGTAAAAAATTATCAACTAAAATATTCTATGGCTACTAAAGATGTATTGGATTATTTTACAAGGCATATATAATCGTCAACGTTTCGTTTAACGAAACCAAAGAATGTACAAATTTTATACCACCTTAAAAGTTAAACTATTCTATCGTTTTTAGGTTGATGACTGTACATGAAAATAGAACAAATGACGAGTGCTGCACCCAACGTAAACTGCAGCGTCAATTGAAAATCAAAAAGATAAATTGAAGCTACACATGATATCACGATCGCGAGAGATGTCGCAAAACCTTTTAGAATATTATCCGCGTGTTTGACAACCATTGCAACAATTAATCCACCACATGCAGACAACACAATAAGATATATCACAAAGCCATCGTAGCCAAAGAAAAAGCCTTGGTCTTGTATGACTTTGCCGTCATTCAAGTAACATGTCAAAATGCCGACTGGCAGAGATAAAAGACTCAATTGGACGTTCCTCATCCATATGGAGATTTCAGATCCCTTGAGAATTTTTTCGAAATATATACCCGCAAAGCCAGACAGGAAACAGGCGGTTAATGCTGCAGTGAAGCCTAGCAGTCGGTTCTGTTCAATCCCTGATGGAACAGTTTGTGGGCCACCCTGAGCTAGCTGCACTAGTATCACACCTGTTAGAAGTATCACTAAAGCACCCCACTGAATCCTTCTTAGAGTTTTCTTTAGAATAACAACCGCAAAGAAAGCTGTAGTTAAAATTTTCAATTGATAGGACACCTAGAACATACATTAAATCACATTGCATAAATAATGAGGCTTGCAACGATTGAGTTTTTCATGTAAAGAAGTCTGGAACATTTAATTGTAACTAAAAGACTTTTTTTAATATAAAAGACAGTGCAAACCAATTTTTTAAGTTTTAATAAATTGTAAGTATAAATAATCACCATAATAACAAAATTACACAATACCTGGTATGTGGCTGCATCCAAATTAGATGCAGATATGTACAGCAGATTGTTCTGAATCACATAAACCATGGAGGGCACACAGACTTTTAGAGTATCTTTAGGTTGCTTGATAATAGTACTGTCTAGTGTTCGGAGGAATTTAACAAAACTACCTTCTTCAAAATACACCACAAACAAGCACGTTACCAGCTTTACCACCTCTGCCATGAAAACAGCTGTATGGTATTAAAAAAAATATATATATATATTTAAATGGTACACATGCACAAAGTATTTTGCCTGGAGTAATTAAAATATGTTAGTACACACCTGTGGAGGATAGGAACATGTCCCCTGACCTGGTGCGAGCGTATCGCATGCTAAGACCAACCAGGGCATTCTGCAGCGTGAGTGTAACGAGACTAATATATTTGAGCAGGTGGGCATTTTCTGTGCAACACATTTTACAACCATAATATCCAAACACTTTGTCATTCAAGAGCTTCACCAGCTATACTGTCAAAAGTAAATAAATACTCACGTTTCATAGTAAGCCTGTAGCGTCGTGTGCACGATAAACGTTGCTGTTATCTCATATACATTGAATAAAGCGGTATCTTACATTCCCCAGATATCTAAATCGTTACTTAATTTCTTTTGGCTTTAGGCTGCTTCTACTTGCCCGAGTGGAAATGGAAAGTGGGCCACATCTTGGGCCAAGCTTGGTTGCCACTTTGGGCGCAGCTTCAGGCAGCTTGGCCTGACTTTCGCCCCGTAATAAGCCAACTTTCGGCTGCAGAGCAGCAGCTGGTACTTAATTTTTTATTTGACAAAATTTGGATAAAATCGACCACATTTACAAAATTACAATAGTTTAGACCTTTTACCATTAACTCATAGAAGCACAGCCCTTTAACTTTATAGTTCCAATAAACAGTTAACTTATGTAATATGTACACAGCAAAATTTGTGTTGCAGAAATCTTGAATAACGATCATATATTATATACTTAAATTAATCAGTCTAAAAGAGACAACTGAAGAAAAAAGGCTTAAAAAAGAAGTTCAGTCACAAAGGAAGAGTCTCCTAAAAATGGAGCATTGGATCTCACTGAATCAGAGAAGGTTGGGTTCTTTGTTTATTTATAATACTTAAAATTTACTTCTCTGTAATAAATGTATTTTTTATTTAGTGAGATCCAATGCTCCATTTTTAGGAGACTCTTCGTGTGACTGTGCTTCTTTTTCAGTCCTTTTTTCTTCAGTTGTCTCTTTTAGACTGATTAATTTGTGCTTCCATGAGTTAATAGTAAAAGGTCTAAAGTATTGTAATTTTGTAAATATGGTCGATTTTGTAAGCCATATAAGATAAGTAAAATATTTATACTTGAGGTGGATTTCCGGGTTAAAGATAAATTGTATATTTGCCGCAAACAGCACAAACAACGTCAACTTTTTATTTTATATTTTCATGTTCAGTTGCGGCTGGTTTATAATCGATTACATGGCTCTACTGTAAGTATAGTAGTAACTATTTGGATCAGCGCCATCTAGCGGTGTTTATGTTTTGGCCAAAAGTGGCTCCTAAAATTCTGAATCAGAGCAATCAGGATTAGAGCCATTTAACCAAGTATAAACCAGCCGCAACTCATTTTGTAGCTATAAAATGAAAAAAAAAACAATATATGTGTTTTTGGCGGCAAGTTAACAATCTATTTGTTATCAAAAAATCGACCTCTTATGTATTTATACTTTTGAAGATAAATTTTCGAATAAAAGATAAATTGTTAACTTGCCGCCAAAAACTCATGTATCGTTATTTTTTCATTTTATAGCTTCATCATGAGTTGCGGCTGGTTTATACTTGGTTAAATGGCTGTAATCCTGATTGCTCTGATTCAGAATTTTAGGAGCCACTTTTGGCCAAAAAGTTAAGACCGCTAGATGGCGCTGATCCAAATAATCATTGCGTTTTACAGTAAAGTCACTTTATCAATTATAAACCAGCCGCAAATAATCTTATAAGTAGACAATAAATAGTTAACATTTTTTATGCTACTTGCGGCAAGTTTACAATCTATCTTGTACCTGAAAATCTATCTCCAAAAGTATAAATATTCTACTTGTCTTATATGGCTCATAAAATCGACCACATTTACAAAATTACATTACTTTATACTTTTTACTATTAACTCATGAAAGCACAGCCCTTTAACTTAATAGTTTCAATAAACAGTTAACTAAAATAAATTATAACTACCAAAATTATTGATGTTGGTCTGTTGTGCGGACGATCTCTATCATTATTTTGTTTTTGCATTGTCGGGTCTCGTTAATCGTTTTTTTTGAACAACTTATTATTGGTTATCAAAAATTGCTGAAAAAACAATATAGCCGTTCGATCTGTCTGAAATTAGAATTTTGAACATGCAATAATTGTAAAGTGAATATAGTAATGGTCCAAATGATTGTTAATTTTTTGTATCAATTGTTTATTTTCCATACAAATTATAAACATGTTTTTCAAATACTGTACATATACTGAGTTCTATAATATTTTTAAACCTCTAGTTCAATGATATATATATATATATAATCATTGTCATTTACTCGTTAAAATCAACTACTTTGATCCTCGTATCGTTTCATGATAATTGTGTGGTATATACAGGTAATTTTGTCGACCTTGTTGGGTTAGCTTTCACTTTTGTAAGTTCCTTATCACGCAGAAAATTTCAGACTCGATTCTTCGATATGGCAGTTCCAAGGATATGCATTCAATGATACTAACTTTGAAGGAAACAAAAATTTAGATTATTACTACCAAATTATTTGTTTGCCGTCTAATCAAGTGTTGGATTGTTTTAAACGTCAGCTCATTTCTATATAAACATTATTATATTAAGTTAAAATCACTCACATATCTTTTCATTTTCTGAATTTTCATAGTAAAAAATAGTAAAGGTATATGTATTTATATTTTATGTTTTCGAACGACAGAGAACGACCGCCGGAACTTTTTTTTTCCATAAAGATTTTTTCCTAAAGATTTTTATGCAAGTATATACAAAGTTAATTAACAAATTTTAAAACGATGTGGATTGTTTCGTATGGTTTTTTCTGTCTTATACATGTTTAGA